CAGAGGTCCCTTCCAAGAGCTACTATTCTGTTGGCGTGGAGGGAGGTGACAGCCCCGGCCCTGCCAGGTGTGTTCCTTTTCACCACTTCCACATCGTCTTTCAGATCTTCACCAACAAGTGTCAGAAGCCCGGCTGCAAGCAGAAGGAGATGATGAAGGTGATCTGTGACCAGTGCCACAAGAACTACTGCCTCAAGCACCGGCACCCCCTGGACCACAACTGCAGCGGGGCAGGGCGTCCCCTCTCCAAAGCTGGGTGAGGGCCTGGGGACAGGAGGGCTGGCAGGGACGGCGCCGCGCTTGCCACATGGGTGACAGGGAAGAAGCTGAGCTCCTCCCAGACCATTGCCTGGGACTGCTGCATCCTCACGCTCCCTGCCCTGTGTGCCCTCCTTGTAGAACCAGCACAGCTGCAGGCGCAGTCTCTCCCTCCTGCAGCCAAAGCCACCAGTACTGCCCGCTGGTGGTCTCTTGGTTCTCTGCCCAGCTCCTTATTCTGTAGGCAGTGTTTTCTGCCTGTCCTGGCACAGCGTTTCAAGGAGAGAAACGGGACTGGAGACTCTTGGGCATAGCTGAGCCATGACCCGGGTGCTGCTGGGGGGAAGAGAGGGAGCTGGTTGCCAGAGAGGTGGCTTGCTGACCCAGCGTCATCTCCCTGGGTGTTCAGTGCCCAGGGGTGGCCTGTGACGGCACAGCAGCTGCTCACGGGCATCCTGTCTGTCCTAGGCACGCTGCGGTCGCGAGAGCCCAGGCATCCTCCTCCAAACCAGTTGCTGCATCGAGCAGCGGAGCTGCTCGGCCAGCAGACAGCCCCTCTTCTCCAGCCTCTGCCAGGTATGGGGACAGCCTGACTCGTAATTCCGGTCTGGGCATGACCAGGTCCAGCTTGGATCCCTGTGGGATGCAGGAGCGACAGCTCCCTACTTCTCATGCATCGGCAGGGTTTTTTTGCCGGGCCCCCTGCCTCAGCAATACCCCAGCTTCTCTCGTGTTCGCAGAGGCAGCAGAGCAGCTGCGCCGCAGACTCGCAGCGCCTCCCCTCCGGCAGCCATGCTGCAGAACGGGCTGGTGAGTGGCCTGGCCTGGGCATCTGGGGTGGGCTTGGGTGGTTCCTGCGCCCTGGGGAGCAGCTGCTCTGTGACCCACACTCTGTCGGTGACCGTGACGCTCCCCAGCTCGGCCTCCCGTGGCAAACAGGGACCCCGGACGCTCGGTGGGACGTCAGAGTTTGCTCTGCTGCCTGTGAATGGTGGCTCTTGGCTGCGCTTAGTGCTCGGCCGTCCCCAAAGGGACAAAGTGCGCCGGCTGTTCTCCCTGGCTGTTGTCTTTCTGTTGTGCAAGCCAAGGGCAGAGGAGGGGGCTGGAAGCTGCTTCCCCCTGGTATTCTGAGCGTACTCCCTGCCCTGGCAGCAGGGCTGCACTCCCTTGGGCCGGGGGAGAGCCAGCTACGGGTCTGTCCTGAGCCCAGGGCTGTGGCCGGCCTTGGAGAGGGGAGATGCACCCACCCTCGTGCCTGCCACTCATCCCTCGGGGCTGCCCCCTGAGCCAAGCTGGTGACGAGACGCTGTGTTTCAGAGCGAGGAAGAGGCCCTGCAGCGAGCTCTGGAGATGTCCCTGGCAGAGTCGGCACGCAGCGCGGTGCAGCCGCCCAGGTACGGCCCGGGGACGCGTGGTGTCACGCCCCAAGCCTGCGTGCGAGCGGTGCCTGGGGCAGCATCATATGGCGCGGGGATGATGTTGACCTCAGCACGTGGCTCCGGATGGCGGCTCTGTGTGGCTGACGGGGGAGGGGGGAAAAAGGAAGAGTCCAGAGCCATCCCGGCGCTCTGTTCAGCGAGCAGGCGCTCCGCGGTGCTGGGAGGGGACAGGGGCTGACAGCACAGAGTAGGGCAAACCATTGTCTGACCGCTCGTCAGCGACTGTGCGTGACTAGAGCGTGATGGAGGGGGAGCAGGGGCGTTCAGAGGACACCTGGGAGCCTGCGTCCTCGGACACGCTGCCTGGTGCTGCTAAAAGCACCGTCTTGCAGACTCGGGTTAACGCGGTTCTCCTCGGCCCGGGGTGCTGGCCGCCAGCCCCAGCTGGATGCTCTGGTCTCCCCCCAACACCTGGCTTGTTCAGGGGGCTCCTCCGTTG